AAGCCTATTATTGTCTGAGTGGCATTTTTACACTGCTCTTGAGCCAGTATGTTTTTCAAATAGTGTGGACTCCACAACTGGATTTTTGTACTTTAGATAATTTATAGGGACTAAATGGCACATTAGCTGCTTCAGAAGAATAAAAATGATTACTATTGCAGATGGCTTGTGATTTACTAATACTTTTACTGTAGCTAACAGTATTCCAGAGGGCGCTTACGAAGCTGTATGATTCACAGTTTCAAAACACAGTCACAAACATTACTCTGTCCAATGTTCTAGGTGACTTCATTTATAAGATTAATAACGCTGGTGGCATGTATAGCGGAAACCCGGGTTCAATTTGAATTTGAGTTCCCAGAAATAAAATGACATTTCCTCTCGAGATGAGAAAGAAGGTGGGACGGCAAGGGAGTTAGGGGAGTACAGATATCTAATCTTTTTTTTAAACAATTGGACAGTGACCGAAGTCACTGTGGTTTCGCTTTTCAATCAGGAGAATGGCTATTTCCCTGTTTAAAAGCTTAAAGAGCTATTAAGATGGACAAATCGCGGGTTAAACAGTTGGAAATGTAAATAGCAATTTAAACAGTTGATTGCCCTTCATTGAAAACGCGGATTGTAGGTCGGGGGGAGGAGGAGGAGGAGGAAAGAAAGGAGGGGAATAAAACCCTTTCTGGCTTGTTTTATTGTACCGTCATTGGTATGGGGGGGGGCTTTTCCCAATACGATAGGACTGATGAATGAAGCCTGATATGTCTGAGCCCTCCTGCGGCCTTCCATTTAGTAAATCCACACTTTTTTTTTCTGAAGTGAGCAGACGTTTCTGTGATTTTCACGCCTTTCTCCCCGGGAGGACTCTTCAATTGCGCCGTTCTTCCTTTGTGTGGAGGTAATGAAGTGCTCTCTCTGAAAGCGCCGATCTCGATGGGACCCATTACGGTGCTGATGCCCAGGCCTGATACAAAGCGTTCACTCAATACATATGTATTTATATGTGTGTAGTTAGATGGATGATAAAACGGAGTTAGAAAAGAGTGTGTCCTTTATATTGTGGATTTTTCTTTTGGTTTTAGCAGCGGGGCTATGGGAATGTAACGTACCATATATTTGAAGTTTGCTTTTTTTTATGTAGGACACGTCCCTGTAGAATTCTCAATCATCGCTCAACAGATGAATCGAACTCTTTAGTGCAAAAGTTGTGATTTAATAGCTTAAGGTGGCATTTCTCCATATCCCCACTATAGGGATTTATTCTGTTGTTAGAACGACTACATATAACGTGTATCATCGCTAGTAGAAAAAGGGGAAGACAAGTACATTTTTCTACACCCCCCCCCCGTGTAAAAAGCCCCTTTCGTGACTTCCTCGCCCTACCAGGGCAACAGCTGAATGAGGTTGGCCAGGAGGGGCAAGTGCCCATGGGAGCGTATGTTCATCTTATCCAATTAGGGTGGCTTCCTTATGATAGAACCTTTTATCAATATGAGTTCCACTGGCAGATTGAAAACATCTCTCTTTCTCCCATCCCACGCCGCTCCATCTTTTCTGAAGACGGCTCTATGTTCCTCAAAGCTTTGATCGATCGCGCGTGCATTTTCATTCGTTCTGATCCCACCTGTAGCTGACTTGAACCGTCCTTGGGTCGCCGGCAGGAGGCGCAAGGCTTTAACAGTTGCGAGACAGGGAGGCCGCTGCCGGCGTGGGAAAAGCAACGTTGGGAATGGTTGATTCATTCATTCAGCACGCATTCTTTAGTGAGTTTACACACACATACACATTCTGTCCGCATTGTGTACACGTCGCGCAATTAAAATTAATACCTTATTACCGGTACGCCGGTTGCTATGTACATTTTTTTTTCACTTGCTTAATAAAGTAGGGGTATGCAAAGTTGCCTCATGTACAGAACTGAAGCTTTTTTATTTTAAAAGGCATGAGGAGGATGGAACAAATTCATATCCAGCTAAATTGCTACATTGCTCTAACGTTTATGTTCGCCGGTGATTTCTGTTGTCGTTTTGCGGGGTGTATCAATTTTAAAAACTTCAAAATGTCATTCTTTTCTACAACCATCCGGAAAGCATGTGTGCAAATGGAGAGAAAATTACATTTGGTTGAATGGTGAAAGGCATTGCGGAAGCACCGGCACGGCTTGTATAATATGGATGCAATTAGAGCACCAGAAGTTTTTTTTTCCCTCCAGCGCTCGACACGCTCCGAGGGAAACCTGCAAGACTTGTGAAAATAAACTGAAACGGCGACTCCCTCTGATCTCTACAAGGACTTGAAGTGAAACAAATACCCTGGTGCAATTTTCTATTTCAGTAAAATAAACAGGCTGCAGTTCCACCTGCATGTGGAAACCGCTCCAGTTAAACGGATAATAAGCCTTTAATGACAGGCAAGAGGACAATATTTATTATTTGCGATTTCACTTTCCAAGCCATCTCGTCAATTGGCTAGGAACAGAATTGCGCTCACCACGAGATGAACAGGAACTCGACCCTTGGAAACACAAGCACAGAGCTCCCTTTCATATTAAGACCATTATTACCGCTCCGTATCAGCAGTGAATGGTCATGCAAATAGCATACTGCTGCAAGCAGAATTTCTTCTTGCTATTTTCACTAACCAATGATCATTCTCTATGGCCGCTTGCTTTTTGACATGGTTCACCGCAGGATTTCCTACTCTGCTCTTCCCTTCATTAACCAGCTCAGGGGCAGATCCTGGTTTATTTAGACGGCTGGTTATAAATCAGTACCCAGACTACCTGAAGAACTGGTTTCTCCTCGTTTTGCCCACTTGGCCAAACTTCCCCTTCTTGCCTTCCATTCTGCTATCTCGTGTACATACACCGCCCCATTGCCACGCCTAAATTCACTGGGTGAGATGCCACAAGAAAAATAGCGATACGCGCATCCGTTATCTACCTACCCCTAGATGTGCGCCTTCCTGCTTGTACGTCTCAGCCATGAGATTTGAAAAAGCTACACCCTCCTTTGGTTAAACATTAGCCTTACCCAGACCCTCAACTGCGACTCCCAGTAGAAACCGGTGTTCGTACCAACGATTCAATCCGCCCCTCGCTACTGTCAAGTTAAACCAAAGTGCTTTTACAATCTCACTATTATTCACCACCAAACTGGGCTTCCGATTGCAATCGCTCTCCATTGAGAAAATGCTTTCACCTTCATTCACGCTGCCTCAAACTGGTCAACCACAACTCATCCATTCCTTGGCCTCCCATTTCCCACATTTTAAACGTCAACCCATAAAGGAATGCTTTGCTGATACTCCAGAGTCAGTTTCATTCTTTTCCCTCACCGTCCAGTATGACGCTATAGACACCTCGGCCATCCACTCCCTAATACTACCATCTCTCCAATGTTAACACTAACCCAGGACATTTCATTTGGTCAAATGTTAATGGTACATCTACTAATCTTCTCCGTCTCTAAGTGGCTCTGTTTCTTTATAAGGAAACCGACAGTCCTCAAAAGCCTCGATCCAAATCGTCTTTCAATTCACTTTGTAGCCAACAGGTAAGATAACATCTGGATGTGAAAATGAAACCGAGATCAGAACACTTCGCCAATTGAGACTAGCCTGCTCGCTCAACGGACTTTAGACTAACAGGAGACCCTTTAGCAACTTTAATAGATTGGAGAAAGGGACTTCTTAATTTCTGGTTTATTTACAACTGAGCTGTTTTTTTTAAAAAAAATAGTCCTGGATAAGAAGTTAGTTTGAGCTGAAGTTTTGAATTTGAGACAATTGTAACTTTCACCAGTTTCTGCAAGATTAGAGAAGGCTTGCTCTTGTTTAGTGACCGAATTTGTAAAGCACAATGAATATAATCAATACGTTCACAAGCTAGCATCCAAAACGGCCAGTTCTGAGGAAGGGTCACCGGACCCGAAACGTTAACTCTGTATTTTTTCCTTCACAGATGCTGCCAGACCTGCTCGGCTTTTTCCAGCAATTTCTGTTTTTGTTCTAGTTTCGGTGAACCTGCTATCAGTGGTTAATTATTATGTCCACAGAGAGAACAAAATTAATGACTTTAACTCTTCGCTAAGATCATTGATCTAATAGTTTCCACGGGGGAAATAAGTCGCTTTCATCTCCTGACTTTTTTCCCCGCAGATCTACCCCTCCCCCCGCGGCAAAAAAAAGCAGCAAATAACTCTAACTTGGACAATGTGTCTGTATGTTTTACCAGTACCAGTTTGGGTTCAAAACATTTCATTCATCCATCCAAATTATTGGAGATTTGACTGGAAGCTAGCAGAAAGCTCTGGTCACAGAAATAGTAACTAACATAGTCACTTTTTTTTACAATACCATTACACAGCTTACCATTTTGCATTCAGGAAAAAAACCACAATGCATCTACATGGCTGCTTGTGAGAGTGTTGGAACCTCATGTTATTATATTTGTTTCCAGTTGAGCCATATCCCTTTGTTCTGACCTCTAGGATAAAAATCACCCTTTGGTTGTCAGGGAGATCGGAGTTGCACACTGACTCCTGTCGACTCGAAATGGCTCGGCTCTGGAAATTCCTTACGGACAGATTGAGAAATCCCAGCAGTCGTCAAGATAACGGGGAGGAATCACAGGAGGGAGATACCAGAAGAGGAAGGTGATAGCAGGGAGGTGCCGGGGTGGGGAAGTTGTGGAGTAGGGGATATGCTCAGGAGCCTGGCTCTGGTAGCAGTGGGAAGATAGAGAGATACTCCTCCATCACCACAGACTGCCCAAACCCCATTCACCTCCCTCCGCGCGTCCCTGCTCTCTCTCTCTCTCTCTTCCCCCCCCGCTGCTATGGCGCGCGGGTCCTCCCACTTCCCCGGACGCGCGCATAGGGCTTGGAGGGGGTGGTGCTCGTGCGCGCGCGCGTCCAGAGTGGGATCTCTTCTCCCTCCCCGAGCTCGCACGCGCCCGCCAGCAGCTGCGACGTGACCGTGCGAGCGGGTCCGCGCCCCCTGACGCTCCCGCATGAAAATGAGGCTGTCAGCTGGTCAATGTCTCAGTCCAAACGCGTCTTATCAAAGAAACACTCAGCATCGAATCATATCATTATGGGCACTGTTTGTTTTTCATGGCACTTTTGTTTGTTTTTCATCCTCTTAAATACTTGTCGCTCCTTGGGAACTGGGGCGCTTGTCGGTAAGAGTTCTGAAATATCTACCTTCTGGCTGCGTGTGTGTGTGTAACCTTTTCTTTCAGAAAATTGCAAAAGGGACATTTCATTATGTTTAATTTCAGCGAAGAGAGTGTGAGTGCTTGTCAGTTGTTAGAAACTGGGAGAAAAATGTGAGGAGCTGCTAACGAATGCAGGTTTGCAGTCTTCCTTTGATACCGTGGGCTTTTGATGGAGTTTAGCAGTTATGTCTAGTCAATATGTTCAATTCTGCAGCTAACTACAATCCCCTTCCTCTTTGGCGAGAAAACGTTTGTAACGCTCAGAGGTGCTAACGCTTCCACCAGCGCGTTAGTTTACTTTTATTTCTGGTTAAGGAACAAACTAAAATACCTGAGTGGGGACATAGAACAAAGGAAGTGAGCATTTATTTCAGCTGTGGCCGTTTCGCATTTTAATGCAAATCTGCGACTCCTCCAATTTTTAAAACAGTTTCAGCGTCGTCGAGATTAATAAAAACATTATTTTGTGGTAAACGCGCTGTGTATGTTGTGGAAACCAATTATGGAGATTTTCTTTGGAAGTTTGTGCGGTCGTTGAGAATTGTTGAGTTTTTTTTTTCTGCGCGGTTTGGTTAATCGCAAACGCCGGGGACAAGATTGGTTTCACCTTTTTTTTGTTAAAATGTTATGTTTTAGAAAATGACAGACCTGAATAACACATGGCAGTTCCCTGCCAATGCGTGCTGTGGTATCATATTTGATCAGATATTCCGTGTAAAAGCCTTTGCTAAAGTTACACTAACTCCATTGAGTAAGCCTACACACAATTCCCTATGTTGCAATCATTAGAGGAATTATTCCCCGAAGAAACGGAGGATTTCTGTTATTGCTTAACACATCGCGGAGTGACCCCCTCAAGCCCAAATGAAAAGCCCCCTTTAGACTCATTTAAAGTAATTCTGAAGGCGGCGGCGGCGGCAGTGCCAAGGAAGCCAGCTGTCAAGTCCCTTATGAAAACAGCACTTGATAATGAGTCAAAATATGACAAGGCAGTTTTTCTTTTCTGCTTCACTGCATACGTCTCCTGCTGGAGCCCACTCTCATTTAGCTGAGACCAGGTTTAGACTTGACTGAGTCGGCAAATTCAATTGCTTTCCCCCCCCCCCAACCCTTTTTATTTTTCCAGAAAAAAAGGAAAGTGGTTGTTTCCGTAAGGGCTTTGAATAATTGTCGCTGAATAAATGAGGTCGTACCCATTCAAGACTCGCGTAGCGTTTTAACGCTCATTAAGTTGCTATTATTGTCATGTAATGGGCCATTGCATTCTACTAAATGTGGCATCAATGAAGCCTACAGACAGATCGAGGCTATCTTTCCTTTTAAAACGTCCACTGCAGCATGACTTAGAGACATAGTAGAAAACGTGCGTAGTTTCGTGTTGTCTGTCCTGTTTCTCGTATTTACTTTGGTGAGCAGACTCGGGGAGGAACTGTCTGACTGTGTCCCAGACACAGATGGATCATTCTCCCGTGAATAAATCGATTACTGGTCAAGTGCCAGTAAATAGAGCCGCCTTATTGACAGCAATCCAGTAATCAATAGCATTAGGTACATCAAGGCGCATGCTATAATGTGACAGCTCTCCGTAAACTTACAACTCAAATCAGAATCGAAAACGTCTCAACCTTTTACATTTTGGTATTATTTTTAAAAACCAACTCCCAAAACTGGAGGCCGTGGAGTCATTTACTTTTAACGGAAATACTTTATAGTCAGTTTCATCGTGCGTTTTATTTTGACTTAAAATCGATGCTCAAAAAAGCAGGATTGTTTGAGATTTTCTATCTAATTCCAAACAACTGGCCCGGGGTTTCTTTAGCATATCAGCTCGAGTAAGAATAATCCTATCAAGTACCTATAATAAACATCCAGGCTTTCTATATGATCACGTATGGAGCAAATTCAGAAAGTGGGATTGATGGAAGTTGATGTTTTGAGACAGTAGGTGGGTTAGTCTAATGATATATGAAGAAAAATATCTCGTGCAGTTCTTGGTAGTTTATCACCGTCTCCAGCAGCTATAAAATCGATTTAAACAAAAACAAAAGTCACCATTTAACGCAATATTGCCTCGATTACCCTACCCCCCCTTCCTTCAAAAGTTCAAGGTACAGTAGATTTGGCCAGAAAGAGGCGACCTTCGCAAGAACAAGAGATTTTTTTTCTACTGACACGCAGCCGCGGGGCTTGCTGCTGGTTATCGCTGCTTCCCTGGCCTCCTGCAGCTAACAGAATGACATCGAGCTGTCACAGCGATCACTCACAATGCACACATTTGTTCCGCCCATTCGTTTGCAATATTGGCCCCATGGGAATACTCAATTCGACAAGGAGCAGATTTGGCGCATACAAACGACGTTTTTTTTACTTTCTTTCTTTCTTCCCACCCCCCAGCAGATTTGAATTGTTAACTGAGCTGGGACAGACCAGAATTTGTATATCCGACTGTCATACTTCTAAATGAGAGGCAGCAGAGTGTGATTCTCGTGATTCGTCAGCACACAGGCAACTATTTTATTCGCTTTTTCTTAAAATCAAATACAAGTAAATTTACAAGTTGTTCACTTAAGATTCATTAGGCAGTTTTCGATTCAGCCCCAGTTTTTTTTTGAAAAGAACAATCCGACATACGCAGTTTCCAAGCAGCTGTTGAGCGTAAATTCACTTTTGTACGGATATCTGTGCCAAATTGCATCAGGTATATCTAAACGTATCGGACCCCAATTCTTGTGATGTGATGCCAAAACATGACGAGGTTTTGGTGAAACGGTGTAAAATTTTCAACGAATATTTATATCCGCCCAGGGTTGGAATTTGGGGCTTTTTGTTCATTTAACGATATTTGGTGAAGGTTTCAGTTTAAGTAATTTAATGTCAGTTTTGTGTGTTGGACTTCCTACAGTCGCAGGCACTTTATCAGCAACCTCGTAAATAGAGCCCAAGCCATTTGTTCGCTTTTGCCAGCTTGGTCCTGTAATAGGGCGCATTAAAGCCATTCTGCGCGATAATGGCTGCTCCAGCTGATCACTTCTTGCTGTATGTCAGACAAACCCGTCAACTAAGGCTGTCACTGTTAGAGCGGGCACTCGCCCGGACTATCTCAGAATGCAGAGTAAGGCATCTGAAAGCTGTTTAAAGCAATCGCAGCACCAGTGTTATTCGCCATCATCGGGAATGCTGCCGCCAAGTCAAAAACGTGTTCTGCTTCTTGCACAATTGATACTGTATATGAACTCCGTGTTGGTGTGATGGTAGGTTGATAAACCACGCATCTCAGAGTAGCTGATCATATATCAAGCGGTGTATCTCTTTTTGGCTGCTTACAAAAAGCAACCACCAAACCAGCCTGGGCTTTCAAAACCCGAAATGCAGTAGACATAATTCTACAATTAGACATAATTTGCCGGATAATCCTGAGTAGTGAAGAATTATATTGACATCGATGAAGAATTGTCAGTTGGGTTAGTAGTATGTCGACGTGCATGTATTGCAACTCTATATTAATACCTAGGGACCTATTGTGTTTAGATAGGAAAAAAAAGTGCATGCGCAATGCCTGTTTTAACGCAACCGTTCACCCTTCAGGGCAACGCTTTGACCAACTGGAGTCGACCTGTCTCGTTTAAAAATTAACAAAACCTGGCAGTTAACTTTCAGTCATCATTAACTCATGCATTTTTCATGGCAGCACGTCAACTAAACCAAGTCTACTTGCCAACCAACCAATATTGGCCCCATGGGAATACTCGAAATTCGACAAGGAGCAGATTTGGCGCATACAAACGACGTTTTTTTTTCTTTCTTTCTTCCCACCCCCCAGCAGATTTGAATTGTTAACTGAGCTGGGACAAACCAGAATTTGTATATCCGACTGTCATACTTCTAAATGAGAGGCAGCAGAGTGTGATTCTCGTGATTCGTCAGCACACAGGCAACTATTTTATTCGCTTTTTCTTAAAATCAAATACAAGTAAATTTACAAGTTGTTCACTTAAGATTCATTAGGCAGTTTTCGATTCAGCCCCAGTTTTTTTTTGAAAAGAACAATCCGACATACGCAGTTTCCAAGCAGCTGTTGAGCGTAAATTCTCTCATTTGGTATAAATGTTTTTGCCCTTGAATTAGTATTCTTCCAAGTTGTGCTGAGTACAAGATGAAAAGCTTCAACAATTTTTTTTCAACAGTTATAGGAACGTATTGAGATTAGGTTGTGTTATTTCACACAATGATTAAGCATAAATGCTTCTTTTGCTTTAAGGGGAAAGGAAGTTCGGTAAGTATGGAAGGGAGAATGAGCTAGTAGGATATTGTGACACAGACAGTAAATTGGAAGGAGGTTTGTGTGGAACGTAAATACCAGTGAAGGTCAGGTGGGTCAACTGCCCCCCCCCCCCCCCCCCAAAATCACCGAGAAATAATAGAGGTCAATGTCAGCATGCTGACTGTACAGGATGCGTAAACATTTACCTTTTTCCCCCCCACCGCCTTCTCAGGATTGAAAATAATTTTGAGTTCTTGTAAAAAGATGCAGGTAAAGTCAGTGATGCAGAGAATGTTGTGCGTATCGCTTACTCAGAAATCAATATGGACCACTGTCTTTGATCTTTTCATTTTGTTAATGTCATGCATGCACACCAAAAATGTGAGCTTTTTTAAAAAGTAACTAATCCTGTCATTGTGTCTCTGTAGTGGGTTTGATTTACATCTTGATGGCGTATGTTTCTGGTTTGGTTCTAGATGTCGATGAATGTGCGGTAGGAACAGACGACTGTCACATCGATGCAATCTGTCAAAATACACCTAAATCCTACAAATGCATCTGCAAACCGGGCTATAAAGGAGACGGGAAGCAATGTGAAGGTAAATTGGAGACTAACATCTGGTTCAATTCATTGCCTTCGTCACCTTTCCGTTCAAAATATTAAAGATCCCTCTGGGTTTGCAAATTATTTAATTTTATAATATATTTTATAATATAATATAAATCTTGTCCTGCAACCATTATTTTTGCATGATCTTAATACTTTGGCTAAAATGTTCGCCTTTGTAAACACATTTTATAGCCTCTTCCTTTAAAGCCTTCTGGATGTAAAGCGAAGCACTTTGCTTTGGTGTCGGCTGTGAAATTTTAGAATCTATCTCGCTGTATTTTGGAGGATTCAGAAGCAGCCCCCTTCGAACATGCATGTGTGCAGACAGATGCAGAGTTCTTGATCCAGGTGAAGCTGTCTGGGGGAGATAGAGAAGAAATGAGGTATTTATCTGGTGATCCAGAATAATGATTCAACTATCTCAACTCCCAAGCTTTTTAGTTTGAGAATAACGCTGACAATGATCAGTAAATCAATTACCCATCAATTGTCACGTTTCCCAAATTGTATTATGCGATGTAAACGTTTTTAAAAAAAACACTTTCTGATGTGATTTTCCTTGGAGATTAAAAGTTTGATTTTGAAATGTTCCTTTCTCTTGATCTCATTGCATGTTCAAACATATTTTAGGAACTTTATTTTCTAAATGCAGTGCTTCATAAATTATTCGCTTGCACTCCATATACAGAAGAGTTCCAGTGGTTTTATAATCGGAAAGAATGCTGAATTGCATGAGAACTGGGGACCTGAAGAAATGCCAAGCTGATATGTTTTTAAAAGTTGCCAAGACCAACTGAGAGTTTCGAAGAGCAGGAGAGTGGAAGAAAACTTTGGTATCTTACAGAGAAGTGTGGAAAATTTTACAAAGCTATATATAGTAAAACCCTTCCCGATGATAGATGCACAGATCTGCTTTCTCTACATTGCATTTCTTCCCTGGCAAAAGTTTTTATTTCCAATTTTCCAGTTTCATCACTTGTTGTTTTAAAGGAGTTTTAAAAATCTTGATTATATCTGGTATGATTGGGTAGATGGGAATAGAAGCAGCAATGTTAGCTCCATCCAGAAGAGCTGGGTAGTAGATGAGAGGTATTTGGGAAGATCATATCATTGACCAGCTCTAAATTTGTAGAAGGGAGAGAGGCGTAATGCAGCATTGTCACAGAGGACATAGCTTGCCATTTTGGCTGTAGTGATTTTAGTTCTGACAGTTGCAAATCTAACTGGTGACATTTCCATACCTCCCAAAGGCAAAGGTAGGCAAGAATTTGCAAGATGCGCAAGATTAGCGTGACATGTTCAACAACTTGAGAGTATCAGAAGGTTGGAGATGGGTTTATATTTTGCAAGGACAAGAGCAGATATTTGAGGGGTAGAGTACCTGAGGAAGTTAAGCTATATTCAGTACCAACTAGCATAATTTGGCTTCTTTTCAGGAAGAAGCAGTGGGTTTATAGCTACTCATCCCTCTGTGGCATTAGGTGAGGAATCAGTTGTGATTCTGCTTAATTTCAGAAGGAGCATCATTTTTCTTCATGTTATTTTTATATAAAACAACTTTCAGCATTTGCAATGAACATATTATTGATCTCAGGATGACACTTAGTTAGAACACCTCCATATAAGATGTTGGAAAGTGCTCGACAACTCAGGAGATGAAGATCTGTAGCCACTGTTGTATAGTCCACTTATTCATTTGAGAAATTCAATTATACCTGAATGCACGAGATTGTAATCTCCTCTATAGTCTCTGAGCTTTCTTTAATGAAGAGCCACCATAGGCCTCGAACAATGTCAACATGCTTTTTGGACTGGAGGTCTGTGACCAGTGGTGTTCCACAGAGATTGGTTCTGCGTCGTCTTTTGTTGGTCATTTGTGGTTTTAAAAATAGGTGTGCTTGCCTTCATTGCTCAGTGCTTTGAGTATAGGAGTTGCTAAGTCACGTTGAGGTTGTTTAGGATATTGGTGAGGCCTCTACTGGAATACTGGTGTTGAGTTCTGGTTGCCTAGTTATAAGAAGGATATGATCAAGCTGGAGAGGGTTCAGAAGAGATTTACCAGGATGTTGCCAAGTATGGAAGGTTTGAGTTATAAAGAGAGGCTGGATAGCCTGGGACTCTTTTTCACTGGAGTTTAGGAGGTTGAGAGGTGACTTTATAGAGGTTTACAAAATAAAGAGAAGTATAGAAAGGGTTATTGGTAGTTGTCTTTCCCCTAAGATGGGGGAATTTCGAGACTAGGGGACACATTTTTAAGGGGAAAGGAGAGACATTTAAAAAAGACATGAGGGACAAATTTTTTTAGACTGTAGTTCCTGTGCAGAATGAATTTCCTGAGTAAGTGTTGAATTTGGGTACAATTACAGTGTTTAAAAGTGGGTAAGTACAGGAATAGGCAGGATATGGAGGGATATGGGCCAGGAGTAGATAGGTGGAACTAGTTTAGTTTGGAATTGTATTCAGCATGGATTGGTTGTACCCAAGAGTCTTTTTCTGTGCTATATGGCTCTGTGAGGAGTGTGGAAAAGAGGGGAATTAACCTATTCTTGGCCAGTGGAACATCAAAGGGCTGGTACAATAAAGCCTTGCTAAATATTATGGTTGTCTTCCTGAAAATCACAATTTCAAGTGAAACATTGGTTCTCGTAGGAGTCCGTGTTAGGTATGTAGTTCAGTTGTGTAGGACCTTCCCTGTTGTTATACTCCAAAAGGTCGCTCTATTTAAACAGAATTCAAGTCCACACATCTATGTGAGAGCTTTATTTCAGTTAGCTAACTCCATAAAACTCACCCCACCTACCACTAACTCCTCATTTATACAAACAATTCACACCTAATTAATTCTTAATATCCATGTCCTGTTCTCTCATTTGATTAGGTCTCAGACATTTCTAATGGACACATTTTAGATGGTATCATCTATCAGACACTTAAATATTGAAATATAATGCCTGTAAGTTTAAAATATTTGATATTGCTGAATTCCTATGTTGGTAACTGAAATTGTGTTTAAAATGTTTAAAAATATGAAAGACCAAGTAACTTGCTACTTACTGGAGGGGAGTGTGGAACGGACAAGGGAGTCACGGAGAGTGGTCCCTCCGGAAAGCAGTTAAGGGTCGGGAGGGAAAGATGTCTTTGGTGGTGGGGTCGGATTGCAGATGGCGGAAGTGTCGGAGGATGATGCGTTGGATCCGGAGGTTGGTGGGGTGGTACGTGAGGACGAGGGGGATTCTTTTTTTGTTTCTTATTGCGTGGATGGGGTGTGAGGGATGAGTTGCGGGAATTGTGGGAGACATGGTTGAGGGCGTTCTCGACCACTGGGTGGGGGGGTGGGAGGGGAGTTGCGGTCTTTGGAAAAACGAGGACAACTGAGATGTACGGGAGTGGAATGCCTCATCCTGGGAGCAGATGCGGCGGAGGCGAAGGAATTGGGAATAGGGGATGGCATTACACTCCCCTCCAGCCCCACCACACCCAGCGCTTTTCCCTGCAACCGCAGGAAGTGCTACACCTGCCCCCATACCTCCTCCCTCACCCCCATCCCAGGCCCCAAGAAGACTTTCCACATCAAGCAGATGTTCACCTGCACATCTGCCAATATGGTATACTGCATCCGCTGTACCCGTTGTGGCCTCCTCTACGTCGGGGAAACCAAGCAGAGGCTTGGGAACCGCTTTGCAGAACACCTACGCCTGGTTCGCAATAAACAACTGCACCTCCCAGTCGCGAACCATTTCAACTCCCCCTCCCATTCCTCAAACGACATGTCCATCCTGGTCCTCCTGCAGTGCCACAACGATGCCACCCGAAGGTTGCAGGAACAGCAACCCATATTCCGCTTGGGAACCCTGCAGCCCAATGGTATCAATGTGGACTTCACAAGCTTCAAAATGTCCCCTCCCCCTACCGCATTCCAAAACCAGTCCAGCTCGTCCCTGCCTCCCTAACCTGTTCTTCCTCCCACCTATCCCCTCCTCCCACCTCAAGCCACACCCCCATCTCCTACCTACTAATCTCATCCCGCCCCCTGGACCTGTCCGTCCTCCCTGGACTGACCTATCCCCTCTCTAACTCACCTTTACTGGCTCCATCCCCGCCTCTTTGACCTGTCTGTTTCCTCTCCACCTATCTTCTCCTCTATCCATCTTCTATCCGTCTCCCCCTCTCTCCCTATTTATTTCAGAACCCCCTTCCCCTCCCCCTTTTCTGATGAAGGGTCTAGGCCCGAAACGTCAGCCTTTCTGCTCCTATGATGCTGCTTGGCCTGCTGTGTTCATCCAGCTCTGCACCTTGTTGTCTCTTTATATTCCATCTGCCAGTTTTTGCCCATTCACTTAAACTGTCTATATCTCTCTAGACTCTCCCATCCTTGTCACTTGCCTTCCTGCCTGTTTGTGTTTGCCCTGGAAATTTTGTCTTTAGTTTTTAACCTACCCTCACCCAAGGTGTGTATGTGGTATAAATAATTGTGGCTCAGCACTGATCCCTGTGGCACTTCACTCGTTACAGGTTGCCATGTCTGAAAATGCACCCCACCCCACCCCACCCCACCCCACCCTGACTTTATTCAAACTGTATCTGCTGTTAGATGCCAGTTCTCTATCCATGCTAACACCAAGGACATATGTTAAGTAAATAGCCTAATGTGTTCTTTCTTAGCAAATACCATTTAGTAATCCAAATACATTACATCTACTACTTCCCTTTTATCTTTCCTACTTGTTACCTCCTGGAAGAATTCTGCTAAATTTGTCAAGCACAGTTTCCCTTTCGCAAAGCCAAGCTGACTCTGCTGCTTCATATTATATATTTCTAAACGCTCTACTTATCAATAGCCACAAGTAGTGGTAGATTTCCTGCCACTTAACTGTGTGATCAATTGAAATCATGACCTGAAAAGCTGTTGTTAAAGTTGTCAGCCACTCCCCTGGGTGCTTATCAATAGATGCTTGTGATAAACCAAAGATCGAGATCGGTAACCCCAGA